ACACAAGAGAGGAGAGGCAGAGAGAGAGAGAGAGAGGTCTTCCATCCGATGGTTCACTCTCCAGTTGGCTGCAATGGCCGGAGCTGCGCCAATCCGAAACCAGGAGCCAGGAGCTTCCTCTAGGTCTCCCATGCGGGTGCAGGGGCCCAAGCACTTGGGCCATCTTCTACTGCTTTCCCAGGCCATAGCAGAGAGCTGGATTGGAAGTGAAGCAGCCGGGTCTAGAACTGGTGCCCATAAGGGATGCCTGCACTTCAGGCCAGCGTGTTAACCCACTGCACCACAGTGCCAGCTGGCTCTTGACCCTAACTCTTAAACCATAATGCTGCATGGAGTTTTTCCTGGCAGAAATTACTCTTACAGCAGCACTGAGTCAGTCATAGTGGTATCTGTTCTCCGCACTCTGGACATCGGCACACTGACCAAGATAGCCAGTCCAATTGTTTGTCACCAGAGCCACAAGGGCTGGGAGGACAGCAGAGGAATTTGTTGAGAATGGCTGAACCCATGCTATGTCATGAACATGACAAGCACTGACAGAATCAGTTTAATGTGAACATTTTTTTGTGCATGGCCTGTGAATCCTTTTTGCATTCATAAACATGTAGAGTTCTGACACTCATTGTCAATTCTTGTAAGTGATGCTAAGTAAATGACCTTTATGCTGATCCGAGCCTTAAGTCTTCCCTTAGTTGTATCATACAAGCTCTGCTTGGCTCTCGCATTCCTCAGCCTTGTAAGGTTCCTTGCTCTCTGCCCTGTGAAAGTCATAACCTTGACACAGCCCTTAATTGCCATGTACACCAATGTTTATCAGACTGTGGGTTTTGGTCTCATTTATGAGTCAAGTAATCAATGTGGTAGATTGTGGCTGATATTTTAAAGACAACAGAATAGAATTTAATTGAATGAAAAATATCTTGGTGCTTCACACGGGTTCACAAAGTGGTCTAAATTGAAAACATATAGAGGTCTGTATTTATCACATTTTTTTGGTCACAACAAAAATGTTAAAAAAATACTAATATACAGAAACACTTGTTCAGATGGTCAGCTTCACATTCAGAGCGTTCACTCCGTTCCCTCCTTTTTTGTAATACTCCTGTCACTTGTTGACTTCCTTAACTCCCACATCATGGAGACCCGGTCCCCTGATTGCAGCACCATCTCCATTGTTTCAACTTTCTTTCTCATTTAGCTCATTGCTCTATGTTCTGTCTAAGAGAGGTGGGAAACATTCCTTTTCCTGAAGGTATCTGTTGAATAGTTGGGCTGACTTACTTCTCGTAACAGTCACATGAGACACTGAGAGGATACCAAGGACAATATGGGGAAGGCCAGGGAAGAAGAAGTAACATGAGGGGGATGAACAAATGTGTGAGGTGACAGAGTTTGGGCTTCCTGGGAGAGCCGTATTACACACTAATCCTGCATTTGACTTGCAGCCAGATAAATAGACACCTCTAATGCATAATGTGGAATTCAGAGAAACAGTCTCGTCGCTTCCCTGAAGGCATCCCTTACTGTCAAGGAAAAGTGTTTGCGCCTTCCCCAATGCACTGCTGGCTCGTTCGTGCCTGCTTCTGTTAAGAAGCCGCTGGGTGAGGATCCCAGAAGCCCCTTCGTCACATGCCTTTCCATAGGCCTGAAGGCCTGTCAGTCACCAAGCCCTTGATGATTTTTTGCCTTTAATCTCTCTCCAGCAAAAACAGGAAGTAAGAAATCATGACTGCTAACTATTGTTCTTCAGTAATTCACATCAAGGTCTGTGTGCACTTTTCTGAAAGATCCATTTTGTATTATTGCAACAAATGAAGCAGACGATTCTTGCACAGTTCTTCCAAGAAATCTCTGCCCATGCATTGCATTGGCTTGCTAATTACTACTGCCTCCTCACACAGAAGGAATGTCCCCATGAGGTCACCTCAAATGAAGTAATAATTAATGTATTTTTTAATATATTTTATTTATTTATTTGCGAGAGAGCCACAGACAGTGAGGGGGAGGGACAGAGAGAAAAGTCTTCCATCTGTTGGTTCACTCTCCGAATGGCCCCAATGGCCAGAGCTGTGCCAATCTGAAGCCAGGAGCCAGGATTTTTCTTCTGGGCCTCCCACACAGGTGCAGGGGTCCAAGGACTTGTGCCACCTTCCACTACTTTCCCAGCCTATAGCAGAGAGATGGATCGAAAGAGGAGTAGCCAGGACTCGAACTGGCACCCATATGGGGTGCCGGTGCCGCAGGCAGAGAACTAACCTACCGAGCCACAGTGTCAGCCCCACGATGGGGTTATAATTGGATGTCTTTATTGACTACACTGCACCTGGTTAGAAAGAAGATCTGAAAACCTTCTGTTTGTATCAAACACTTCCTGCTTTCAAAAATAGGAGGAACGAGGGAAGGTATTCCTACCTGTTCCAGTATATGAGGAAAGGAACTCTCACAAGCAGAGAGAAGCCACATGCCAGTGCAGCAGCATGTGCACACCAGGTACTACTGGTCCGAGCAGAGAATTAAGATAGAAAATACCCCTCTGATTTTTCTCTAGGTATCCTATAGACTTGAAACATCCAACACATAGTTTATTTTATGTCTAGTGTACACCCAAGAAATGAAACCATACTTCTAAACCAAAACCTGTACATGAATGATCACAACATTGGAGAAAACCCAAGTGTCCATCAACCAATGAATGGATAAATAGGTGTGGAATATCCATAAATGAGACGTCATTTAATAATAAAAAGAAATGAGGTGTTGATATGTGTTCCAGTACAGAGCCCGGGAGGCAACATGCTCAGCGAAGAAAGCTGCTCTCAGAAGACTATGCACAGTTACCATTCCTTAGCTATGCAGTGTTCCAGAAAAAGCAAATCGATGAAGACAGAAAAGAGGTTAGGTAGGATTGCCGAGGGCTGGGAAGGGCACCTCAGGTGGGAGTGACTACTGAGAGATATGAGGTTTCTTTTCAAGGTGATCAACAAGTTCTAAACCTAGATTATTGTGACCATTGCACAACTCCACAAATAAATGAAAATCCTTGAATGCGAATGCTACCCTGTAAGTGAGCGAATTTTATGGCATATGAAGTATATCTCAAGAAAGTTATAAACTAAAATGGACTTTTAAAAATTTTAGATGAAAGTAAATAAAGAATTTAATATTGCACCTATCCTTTACTCACAAAATAAGCAGATTTTTTTTCTAATTATTTTTAAAAATATTTATTTTATTTATTTGAAAGGTGGAGTTACAGAAAGACAGCGAGAGAGGTCTTCCATCCGCTGGTTCACTCCCCAAATGGCTGCAATGGCCAGGGCTGGGCCAGGCTGAAGCCAGAAGCCAGGAGTTTCATCCAGCTCTCCCACAGGGCTGGCCTCAATCCAGTGCCCATATGGGGCCAGCATCACAGGCAATAGCTTCACCCACCACGCCACAATGCCAGCCCCTTTTCTGCCACTTGTTGTGTTTAGGAAGACAAATTTATGTCTTGCTGACAATGTGTGTCACAAAAGGAAAATACAAGTCAGCCATACTCAAAGGGGCCAACTTTCCGCATCACAGTTGCTTTTTAACAATACACAGAGTCTGCATCAAATGGAGAGGCAAAATTCCAGGGAGTATTTTCACATTTCCTTGCTAGTGTGGTGTGCCGCAAGGGCTGCTGGGAACGCTGGGGCTGGGAAGAACAGGGAGCAGGAGCAAGAGCCTCACACAGCTGTAGACACGACCCAGTGTCTCCCCTGCAGGAGGCGGCGCTGCCTGTGGGACACCCTGCACCCAAATAACAGAAACAAAACGCGGGCCGAGCCACATGCAGGGTAGCCACTGACATGGATTCAAAGGCTCACAGGGGGAAAATATCTTTTAAAACCGGTCATTTATTCTCATTGCTAATTCAGTTTGGCTCTTTCGGATCACCCAGGGGTTCATGTTTTCCATGTGCTTTGCCGATGCACCCAAAGGGTGCAACTCTGTGTTGCTGGGAGAAGCTGCTGGCCGTCTTTACAAGTCTCCAGAAGAGTTGCTTTCTTGGTTCTACCCCAGAAAATACTACCTCACTTTCTTCTACTGTGATATTGCAGTTGTCACCATTTGATATATAAAATTTTATTTGCAAATATGTCTTTTAGGGTCCACAGTAACCCCCAGCTAGGTACTGAACAGGTAGTAAGAGGATTGCAAAACTGGAAACCAAGAAATCCGAGTTCTATTACCAGGCTTGCCACTGATCTTTTCTGTGTGGGCTCCAATTCCATCCTCTGGAGTCCCAGTTTCTTCATCTATAAATGAGACCCTGGACCAGAGGTGCTTTCAAACACAAAATGTTCTTGATCCTTGTGAAGATATCTTTTTATTAAATATATATTTTAAAGGCAGAGTTACAGAGAGAGAGAGAAAAAAAGAGATACAGACAGAGAGGGAGAGACACAGAGAGAGAGATCTTCTATCTGCTAGTTCGCTCCTCAAAAGGCTGTAACAGCCATCCTGGGGCCAGGGCTGGGTCAGACTAAAACCCGGAGACTGGAACTCCATCCAGGTCTCCCAAGCACTTCAGCCATTTTCTGCTGTGTTCCCAGGCACATTAGCAGGAAACTGATTTGAAATCAGAGCAGCTGGGACTTGAACCAGCACTCAAATGGGATGCTGGCATTACAAGGGGCAGCTTAACTGGCTGCACCATAACACAGGCCCCAGAAATTTATTTTATTTATTTGAAAAGCAAAGTGACAGAGAGAGGGAGAGACACAGAAAGGGATCCCTCATCTGCTGGTTCACCTCCCGAATGGCAGAGACCCAAGCACTTGGGCCATCTTCTTCTGCCTTCCCAAGCGCATTAACAGGGAGCTGGATCAGAAGCTGAGCAGCCGGGACTCAAACTGGAGCTCCAATACAGGACGCCGGCATCTCAAACCATTGCACCACAGCACCAGCCTCCTCTTTTCTCTCTGTTCTTCTTTTTCAATTCTCACTTTATTTTTTTATTTCCCCCTCTGCAGGTGGCCTCTATCTGCAGGGATATAGAGTGAGTGAACAGCCCCTCAGCCTCAAACAGTCGGTCATTGAACTCAAACCTCCATGTGAAGAGTTCAAGACTTTCTACTTCTGTGCAGAAAATAAAACAGAAAACCAGCGGTAAGCTGAAGCCCTCCTGTTTCTTCTTTCTCAGTCCTGACGGGGCCTCCTTAGCAAACACTTACCCTTACTTTCCAGCTCCCACTCTCCACATTCACGCCTCCCTTTCCTTACTGTCTCTAGTTCATATTCTTAGGATTTGTTCCATGTATTTTTTTTTTTTCAAGTAGAAAAGTAGTCCACAAGCCTTCCCAAAGCAGTGACAGCTGAGTCCAACTTTAAGATAAAAAAAGTCTACTGACACCATTATCTGTGAAGACTGATTTATGAATTCACAGATTCACTCTTTCCCTTCTTTTCGCGTTGCTCATGCGAGTATCTTCATCTGAATTGGTCTGTTGTTTGGTCCTGTCATAAGGCACCAAGGGGCATAGGATTTACTTAATTCACAGTGTGCTCTGTATACAGCTCAGCGTGCACAAGTGGGCACTTACATCATAATAATTCTGAAAAAAGAAGAGCGTTAAAATTAACAGAGACAAAGCTGTGAGGCGGAGGAACTGTGCTGTGGTACCCGAAGCATCCTTCTCCACCTCTCAGGTCTCCCTAACCTAAGTCCCATCCCCCACCATCCAGGTCCCTCCATCTCCCATGTCTTCCTTCATGGCCAGGCCCCACTTTTCTCCAAATGATCTGGGGAAAAAAGTCTAATAAAGAAATTCATGGTGGTTTATTAAGACAGAGGACATGGCAAAATTTCCAAGGACGTTGCAAGGATCAGATACACTGCTTTTTTAAAATATTTATTTATTTTAAAAAAACGTTCATTTGAGGCTGGCGCTGTGGCTCACTAGGCTAATCCTCCACCTGCTGCGCCAGCACCCTGGGTTCTAGTCCCGGTTGGGGTGTCGGTTCTGTCCCGGTTGCTCTTCTTCCAGTCCAGCTCTCTGCTGTGGCCCGGGAGGGCAGTGGAGGATGGCCCAAGTGCTTGGGCTTCTGCACCTGCATGGGAGACCAGGAGAAGCACCTGGCTCCTGGCTTCGGATTGGCGCAGCGCTGGCCGTTGCAGCCATTGAGGGGGGAACCAACGGAAAAAAGGATGACCTTTCTCCCTGTCTCTCTCTTTCACTGTCCACTCTGCCTGTCCAAAAAAAAAATTCACTTGACAGACAGAGTGGGAGCTGGCATGGTGGTATAGCAGGTAAAGCTACTGCTGTGACACCAGCATCCCATATGGGCGCTGGTTTGTTTACTGGATATTCCACTGCTAATCCAGCCCCCTATCAATGGCCTGCAAAAAGCAGAGGAAGATGACCCAAGCATTTGCACTTCTGTCACCCAGGAGGGAGACCCAGATGAAGCTCCTGGCTCCTGACTTCAGCCTGGCCCAGTGAGGGCTGTGGCAGCCATTTGGTAAATGAACCAGTGAATGGTTCTCTCTCTCTCTCTCTCTCTCTCTCTCTCCCTCCGTCCTCCCTCCTTCCATCTCTCTCTCTCTCTCTCTTTGTGTGTGTGTGTCTATATGTAACTCTGACTTTCACACTAAATGAATAAATCGTTAAAGAAGAAGAAAGGCAGAGTGACAGAGAGAAAGATTGGTCTTTCATTCACTGGTTAATGCCTCTAATGTCCACCACCCACAGCCTGGGCTAGGCGAGGCCACAGCCAGGATCCAGGAACACCGTCTGGTTCCACAAGATAACCCCTAGCCCAGAGTAAGTTCACTATGATACAAGTCAGTATTCCCTCTCAGAGACTCCCAGAGCACCTCAGTGCTTCTGAGACGTCCTGAGAGAAAGAATCATTCAACTGTTCTAGGTCATTACTGTTGATGTTAATGGCGCCTATCTACTGCTCTGAGAATAAATGTTATAAAGATGTGTTTTATAAAACATCATCCAAGAAAATCAAAGGGAGAGAGAGACAGCAAGCCTACCTGGAGACTGTGTTGAGGGTTCCAGAATTTAACCAAGAAATATTTGGCCCTATCCCAGTATCTGAATGGCATGCATTTGAGCAACTAAACTTTAGATATAAACATAAAATACTAATAATAATGTCTAAAAGCTTCTAACTCCATTAGTCATTATTTACAAATATCATACCCTCTTCTGATTCTATTAACTGAATTAGCATATTTCATTACTTACTTCTGCCTATTCCATGTTGGGTATTTAAACATTTTATTCAACTCCAAATCTTAGGAGCAAGGTTTATCCTATGAATTTTAAGCTAAATAACCAAAAGAAACAAGAAAATAAATGAAAAGATTTTGTAACCTTTCACCTCCCAGAGTCCAAAAATTTGTTTAAACCCTGCCCTGTTCTCATTTTTCCTGCAGCTGGATCACAGCTCTGAAAATCTCCATCAAAAAATGGGTTCCTTTGCAGCAAGCTATTCAAGATTTCATGAATCGACCTCTGGAGGAGACCAAAATGTGAAAAACAAATCCCCATCCTTTAGACGAAGGACGCCCAACATCATCACCAGCTTGCATGAAGAAGAAAAATGGTTGTCGCTATATGTCTTTTCAAAGGAATGCCCCTCCAATATCCTAAATTTTGTGATAAAATTGAATATGGTTTTGTTATAGAATCCTTTATTTATTTATTTATTTATTTTTAACTTTTATTTAATGAATATAAATTTCCAAAGTACAGCTTATAGATTACAATGGCTTTCCCCCCCCATAACTTCCCTCCCACCCGCCACCCTCCCCTCTCCTACTCCCTCTCCCCTTCCATTCACATTAAGATTCTGAATATGGTTTTTTGACCAAAGCACTAATACCTAATGTGACTTTCTGGCGCTCAGTGTATATCACCATTAATACTCTACATTTTTCTCGCTTACAGCCTACATATGTTAGCATCAAAATACAATATACGCTAAACTTTCATCATTGGAGGCATAAATATAATAAAAGTTGATTTATTTTATCTTTTACATTCTTTGCTACTTGCTCCATTCTCTGTTCTGGCTCTAGGCTTCCTGGGATGCCTCTGGGTCATGATGCAGAAAGCTGATATTGGGAAAACTAAGCTCCTGGAAACAAAGTAGCTTAAATGATGAGTAAGTAATTCACCAAAGAAGGTCATCTTTCTTAAGGCATTTTACAATACATGGCCCAAGTGCTTCCTAGGACTTCCAAGATGAAAGAAAAGAATAACAACTATAGTCAGACATAAAATATAAAATAAAATTTCTTTAAAAATGACTGAATTTTGGAAAGAAAACTCAATGACATGAGTCTGAGCCACCACCAGGATTGCTGTAACACTGCAAACAAAAACCTATCAAGAATGCACGAGTCTTGTTCCTGAAAGTCAAATCCGGAGACTTCATTTCTCAGTGGGGCAATCTGTATGTGTATCCAAGATATTGGGATGCATTGGAAGTCTCAGGCCTTCACTAATGGAACACGGATCGCAGATTTCAAGTTCAGCTGTGAGATTCAAGTGTTCCTCAGCAACTTACCAAAAAAACCAAAAAGATGAAATCTCGACTTTCCATAAAATAATAGTATTGTAGAGCTCCCCAGAACCTTACAGCTCAAGCCCTGTGCTGTGCAGACAAGGCTGAGGGGGGCATTGCCTGTTGAATGTGACATCAGTTTGTATGGCAGGGCTGGAGCTGAGGCCAGGTTTTCATCTCTGCGCCCAGCATTCTCTCAGTCCTCCTCCTCTCCCCATACTGTGCCCCCGAAAATGTGACCTGGTTTCCCAGAGATGATGAAACCATGCTCTATGCATAGTAGCGGAATTCTTCTACTGTTTTGTGAGAACTGACACACATCAGGTGTCAGCTCCAGCAATACAATACGTCCTGCTTACATTTCTACAATCTCATGGAAGGATTTCATGTCCATTCAAATCATGTCCATGTCCAGGGAATTTTAAACACGAAAAAAAAATCAAAATTAATGTCATATTCCTATGCTCTTCACCTCGGCCTCACCAAATAGCCTGTGAAGTTCTCCAAAAGATGGCTACAACCTGCAGCTGTCTCTCACCATAACTCAGATGAAGGAGCTGGTGAGTATGGGAAGCTGTGCTCCTCAATTTGTGGCTTAAGAAAAGCTGCCCAAGTGAACTCACACCAAAAAAGACATGCTGTCCTATTCTGACCAAGTTCATACCATCATCAGAACATATTCAATTAACAGTAACAGACAGCTCTCTGTTCTGAAAGGGTCCCTTTGTTCTCCCAGAACTTGCCATGATCATAATGAGGTCTTTCAGGAGGGGCATCATCAGTAATGTCATGAAGGAATCCTGGGGCTCGCACATCTGCTCCCCGTGGGGAGGCGCCCTGCCTCTCTGGAGCCTCGCCATCGAAAGCACAAGCTGTGCTGTTACCAGGCAGCCAGCTATGACCACAGCCACTGGGAACCTGGCACGGCGCTCTCCCTTGAAGGAGACAAACAAAAACAGCTACCTTGGGAAAATGTGAATGCGATTTTCCCTGAACCAAGCATTGACATAAATCTCTTGAAAGGAAAAGATATCAGCATTCAAGGCTCAGAGTCATTCCCCAAAAACTACTATTCTTATTTCTGGAAGATTCTAGAAATCAAAACAATCCTGGACAGGAAGCAGACATTTTTGTAGGAGGTGGGTATTTTTATGTGAAGAGGGTTCTTAACTTTTACATGATTCTCAAAGAGTCTTGACCCAAAAAGAAATATTTAGTTCTAAGATTATTTTCCAAGATCTACAAGGTTTCCATCTCCAGCAGATAAAATAAGGAGAGAGAACTGCCAGCCCAGCCTCTGACTATGCATTTTTGGGTTAACTTTTTGGCAAAGCAAAGAGAGCTCCCTAGTAGCCAATTAGCTGATAAAATGTTCTTTGAGCACCTACTTGGGGCCAGACTCACTGGTTACTACCAGCTTACTACCATTAAAGTAAAGGGAAAGAATTGTTCGGATCGTCTATTCCACAGCTGGAGGATCTGAGTTCAGATTCTAGCTCTGTCACTTCCTTGCTGTGGCACTGGGCAGACGACCTCTCTTTGCTTCAGTTTTGTCATCCATAAATGGGGGAAATTATAGCACTTACCTCATATGTGTATGACAATTAAATGAATGGGTTATGAAAAGCATCGACTACGCTGCACCCCCAGTGAACTCTCGATATAATTATCAATATCGTCAGCAAGGATTTGTCTCCTCTTACGCAGACTTCTCATCACTGAGGCTTGTTTGAAAGGAAAACATTTTGTCTCCTTCACCTCCCACACTGCAGGTGGGACGATGGGGGAAGATCTACTGAGGTTTCCATCTTGTGTGGGCCTAGTGTACTTCCAGGCTTTCTGAATCAGATACTGCATACTTTTGCCTATTTAAAATCCCAAAGACTGGCCTACTGTTGCCGAAATTCTTCTAGCCCAACTCCAGGGTAAACTTGGGTGATTTTCCACCAGCTTCCTTAGAAGCATCATCCTAAGCCCAAAATGTGCTCAGCAGGTCCCAGCAGGGCCTCAACAGCGCTGCTCTAACTCCAGTCTCTGTTCTGCTTCAGTCTGTTGATTTAATGTGCACGCTCCAAGGAAAATCCTCAGACTGTTCTGTACTTGGGTTTTCCAGCAGAATTATATTAGTGAAGATAAATTCAGAAATATGAAAGCGCACAATGATTCATCCCCCTAAGAAGAGAACACCAAAAGTAATCAATTTCCTTATTTGTCTCACCCACGGAGCCTGAGAAATTGTCTAGCTGATCCCTTGCCTCCAAATTACCACCCAGCCTTCCTCCTGGGTTTGGAACAGTCTTTTCCCCACAGCTTTTGGGGAAAAATCCTTTTCCACAGAAGCCTGGCTAACAGAATTGTCTTTCCCACCTGAGCTGTCTAGAACCATGCAAAATCCATTTGGTAACATGTCTGGGGTAGAATGCGAAAGCTAATGAAATAAAGCATTTTTTTTTTTAAAGTAGCCACTCTAACCCAAAACTTTGCATGTTATATATGCCAAGTTTATGCACCCACATGTTGGGTTAATAAACATCCTTTCATATGTTTCCAAATCTGCCTTTTTAGAATGGACCCTAGACAGAGGCAGACAACTTTCACTTTAGTGATTCTTCACACCCTATTAGCTCCAAGCAGATGAATAGCCAGGATGCATAAAGAAGGTTTTGAATGTACTGGTGGGTTATTTTGGCAGCCTTTTGAAGCAGAATGGGAAGGGCTTCACATCTGTAATGAGCGTTTGATGTCTTCAGGCAGGTAGAACTGTGAATATCTAGCTAACTGCATGCCCTGAAGCTAGCACAATGCCCAGCATACACTAGGCACTCCGCAGTCATTGAAGTAAAAGCATAAATAAATGAATTCCAGTTACTGATCAGATCACAGGTGAAATGGCAATCTGCCAATTTTAAGTTTAGATTCCAAATTATATGCAAACTTTGAAGATTGCAGATCATATAAAAGAAAAAAAAGTCTGTGTGTCTCTATTGCTGCAAATATTGTTTGTAAAAGTCTGTTTTATACCTTTGTCAAACCAATAGTTAAGAATGTTATACTACCATAGTTTTAATGACCTGTGATTACTGTAAAATTTACTGTTTATGGGTGGAATGGTCACGTTTCCATTCAATTATTGTTTATAGCCATTGTCTGTTCACACTAGGGTCTTTTTTGCTATTACTTGTCAAACTTCTTATTCTGTGAAATGTTAAGTGTCTTTATTGTAATGTAATTTAATATGTTATCTCAAAAACTGAAAAAGAAGCAGAAAGAAACAGAGAAGGAAGGAGGGTCGAGGAAAAGAGGGGGAGGGAGGGGGAGGAAGGTAATATCATTATGTTCTTAGAATTGTGTCTACAAATCACATTGAATATGTTAAGAAGTAATTAAAAATTAAAATAAAAAACTTGTGGGGAGACAAGAATAAATGTGTTCTAACTATGAGGGAAAGGTAACATCATCTCGGGGGCAGCATGAGCAGGGATTGAAAAAGAAGAAACCCAAAGGATCTTCTCTCCGCTCTGCTACTCTGGGTACAGCTACTTCATTCTTTTGACTCCCTGAAACATAACTTTAGTTGACATGGAATGTGAGTGCCTGAATTGTGAGCCTTATAGCCTATATATATCATAGTCTCTTATCAGCACCCACACATGAAGATTGCTTAGCTTGCATGTTCATAAAATCTATGGCCAGAGATGGGTAGCAAAGCCTTTGCAGCAATGATGCTCTGGGACGAATATGAGGGTACTTATATTGGTATGGCTAACCTCTCTGCATACCATCCATAATAGCAAAGGCCTACATAGTCGCACGGATAGGAGAATCAAGGGGAGTTCTCTTCTTACCAAAGAGGAGAGATACAAAGCTTCACAGTGCAGAGACACTTGCTCCCTCACAGAGGTAAATGCTGCTTCCTGTTCATTCTGAATGCTTAAAAAATGAAGTTTGTTGCCTTGGAGAGTGGGACCCAGCATGATATCTGGGCAGCTGCTGCTCAGGCTGAGCTGCTATTATTTGTCATCAAAGAGTCTTCAGTGATTTGGGTGACCATATAATTTAGCTTCTAAATTAAGAAATTTTTAGAGAATCTACTTTTAATAGTTACACTAAGTCA